CAATATAACTGAAGATGTGATGTTGAAAGGACTTTATTTATTTCACCAGCGTCACCAGGCGCTCTGCCAAACTTCCCAAACATTTCAGAGATTCTGCTTCCTGGATTGAAATGAAGAACAGACCTGAGGCCTGTTTGTGTTTATCTGTTGCTTTATTTGTTTATTGAACTGTGGCCTGAGCTGTTCAGACAGCAGCAGCCAGAGTTACGATTCAAACAGCAACGACCATCAGTACTCACAACCTGACGGAGAGGATCCAGGTGCTGCCTTCACTGTCCTCTAACGGAGAGAACATCCGTACACTGGAGCATCGTGATATTAGGTGTGTGATATGGATTCTCAGTTTGTGGCAGTGAGTCCGTCCCACAGGTAGCGTTGAGTTACCTGAACTCATCATCAGTGCGACACCAGAGTCGTTCGCCTCCCTGCTGCTCTCACTCTCTCTTTCTGACTGAAATACAATCTGTTTCCTTTCTGTGGAAAGAAAATCATGATGACTTTTTAAATTTAATTCATCAGGTGAGCCCGGTCGGATCACACCAGACACTGTGCGCCATTATGTGTGTGTGTGTGTGTATTTATAGCCGCGGCCGGAGAGGAAGGAAGCCGAGCGGCAAACATCCTCCCGAGCCGGAGCGATGAATGTGAAGCTCACGCATGACTTCACCTCAATGTGACGTCCCGGCAGGAATCCGCTCCGCTGTCACATCGGGAGGAAACACCACGAACGGCTCGTATCGTTTGTGTTTCATCACAATTAGCTCGAAATTAATCAATAAAGCGATAACTCGATCATATCGTCACGACTGCGCTCAGAATAAATGCTCTACAATAATATCAACTCAAACTGTTGTTGAGACTATTAAAGGTTTCTTTGAGGTTCATTTAAGTATTATTAATGAATTAATGTAGTTATATTCAACAGTAACACACGGCGCTCAGCACATCTACACTACAGAATATTAAATCTATTTAAGATTGATGTGATTTAACTGATGTAGGTGTATGTTCATCTGAAATCAATCTGAAACTGATTTATCTGCTGACTCGCTGATCCGGTTCTGAACAAACTGGATCAGCTGAATCAGACTCTTTTCTTTTCTTTGTTTCTGGACAATAATCTCCCCTCTTGTGTGCCAGCTTCCTCTGTTTCCTCTTCCTCTTCCCTGCAGAGGATTACCTCAGAGGAAGGGACGCCGTCGGGTTCAGCTGACGACTCGCAGTCCGGCTGCAGCAGAACAAATGGATTTACAGCCGAGACTGACCCACCGACCGCCGGCTCCTTCACGCTCGCCTCGGCTCAACGGGAAGGAAAATTAAAAACCAAGCGGCGCTGTGGAGTGAAACAAACCCCCCCCCAGAGAGACGGACAGAGGACGCTGCCGTGTGATTGGCTGGGAGGTTGTAGTGGAGGTAAACGGAGGAAGCGGTTCCCTTTATGGACGCCGGTCGGCTGATGACTCCAACTTATGTAATATAACAGAGTGGTTGTTTTATAAGAGCACACTGAGTCACAGTCTGCAGGACTAATCACTTCTTCTCCTTATTGATTCCTGATCAGGTTTCTGTGTTTTATCTCCGAGTCCGAACCAGCGACAGTTTAAATATGGACGTCTCCACTTCCTCCCAGAAACCATAAAAAGGTCAATCACAACGTTAAACCCTTTTAAACCTTCAGATAAACTATTAAACCCAAACTGAAGATAAAACAAAAACGCAGTCAGCCACCGGGGGGCGCTACGCTTCCAGCTGCGTAGACGAGTCGGACTGTCAGAAAAACATGCAAACGGCATCGAGACTATTCCGATTCAACTGTTTGATTTTAAAGAATAATGCAAAAGAAGTCACAGTCCAACAGCTAACTGGAATTAAAACAGGAGGTGTTTATTACCTTTATACAATTCTGTATTTTTATCATTTTAACCATCAAACAGACTTAATCAGCTTCATTCTGACACATTCTGTGTTTTCTTCTCCATTGTTCTTTTAGACAATTTACATTTATTATTCTTCACAGAATGAGCGTCAAAACAGTAAAATAACAGGAAATAAAAATACAGTTTTTAGCTTTAATTTGACAAAAATCTTGTGTATTTTTGTCTTTTTAATGTTTAATTAAAGATATTTAAAACAATGATCTATACATCCAGGTGAACTCTGCTATAATACAATAATCAGACATTTACAGCAGAGTGCTGTTA